AGCATCTTTTTCTTTTTACTTTGAGATGACATTTCGTGTTTTTGGAAAAACAATCTTTACTCGTAAAAATCTTGGTTAATTTTTAGTCTGCTCTCTTTGATTTTCTAAGGGAAAGCACACATTTGCAAAATGATGAAAATATAAATTATTTTTTTTAGAGTTTTATTTTTCCTTTTCTGAAATTTGTATGTATAATTAGTTTTGGGGAAATATACTTGGGAACAACTTCAGCATATACTTTATTAGTAGGCTTCCAGATTAAAAATATTTTTAAAATTCACAATTATAAATAGTTATTGAATTATATAGCCCTCTTGTGGCCAATTTCATGTATTACAGACAATTCTGCCTTTTTAGCAAAAACAGAAACTGGGGTACCTTAATAAGTTTATAAATCTGGCTTTTAGTCATGAATTTTTTTTTCTTGACACATACATCATATTCCAGAAAATCCAAATCCCAAAAGTGGCATTATTCCGGGCAGTTATAGCTTTGAATCAGTTTTATCAGCTGTAGCTGATTTTAAGGCTCCTGTTTTTGAACCTGGAGGTTCTATGCAACAAGGCATGTATACTCCTAAAGGTACGTTTATGTACATAAATTCTTTTAAATATCAGTTTTCCTGAAGGTGAGTTGTGTATACTGAAAAAAAATGTTTTGCCTTTCATTTATTCTGCTTTGGGTTTTTTCTTCAACTTTCTTATAGATGTATGTTTGTCCTTTATGGTATATAGTGATATTGCTATCACTTATTTACAAATCTATGGTTTTTATATTATAATAAAGATTTTAGATGACTGAATTATAAAAGAAACTTTATATATGAACTGTATTAGTTCATTTTTATAAGTGAACGAACTGTAAATAAACCACAAATTATAAAACAAAATATATACCTAAAAACATTTTGAATGTATTTGCTTTCAAAATTTGATTTGGAAATAGTACTCACCACCCAAATTTTAATTTGAAGCAGGTGAAATTAAAATCTATATAAAATACTGAAACATTTTCAAAACATAGAATCCTTTCCTTAAATGGTTGATTTTCTAAGATTTCCCCTGGGATTTATAGATAACATGTTTGATAAGACCCAGAAGTAGGTAAAGTCTTGATTCACAGTCTTTTCTTTTTAACTTTCACATTTTCACTAATGTAAGGTAAAATTTTGAAAGAAGTAGCAGTTACATGCTTCATGACCACCTCAGTACTCATTTTCTAAATGAAAAACTGATGCCCACTTTGAAGTTGTAAATAGAATGTACTGTGTTCGGCAGAACAGCAGAATGAGCCTTCTTGTGTGGGGTTTTTCAGGGAGTTTACAAAGAATAACTCAAAGTTTCTGGTTGTGACATATTCCATTAAAGGAAAAGTTTTTCTTTGTTGCAGAGAGCATTTTGTATCTAAAATTTAGGTGAGCTTCCAAGGGGAGTGGTGTTCTTGTACGGTACAGAGCCTATTAAAGTGTGCGGTGAGGATTACCTCTGTCAGACTCATCTGTGGTCCTTATTGAAAACCAAATCTGCTCTCATTAAGATCGCTAGGGATGGATTCTGGGAGTATGCTTTTTTTTTTTTTTAACAAGCTCTACAAGATGATTGTCATACACAATAAAGTTTTAGACACTGAGATGGAGCACTGGGTATTTGAAGATTAGTTGCAAGAAATGGGGTGTCATATTCAAATACAGTACTGAATTGTATTAGCTAGTTGTGTGATGTTGAGAAAATTAGGTTATCTTTGGATTTGACTTATTTGCAAAATGAATGGTTTTTAAGGTTTTCAAAAGTGGTTAAATAAACCTTTCTATAACTTTGGGGAACTAAGCCTTAAGTAAATCTGCTGTACAAGCCTGCTAAAAGCAGCCCGACTCTTGTCAAAGTGTGTGAGTAGCGGATATATAGCTTCTTGTCTGTTTTGACACCTCCTTGCTCCAAAGTGGCCCCTGTTACACCTCTGGAAATTCACCTCCAATGGAACACTGTTTGAAGCCTTCTGGACTAGTTAAGCACTAAAGTTTTCTTCCATTGCTGTGGTTTCATAATTCTAATAAAAGCATTGGTATTTTAATTTTATAAATTAATAGAATTAAAAGTGAAGGACAATAAATGATAATAGAAACAGCAGCAAAAGTCTTTGTGAAGGACTATCTTAAGGATCTTAGATCATACTTATGATAATTTAAGACGAATAGTGTGTCCCATTTGACCCAGTAATCCCACTTCTAGGAATATATCCCAAGAAAACAGAAACACCAATCAGAAAGGATATATGCACCCCTATGTTCATAGCAGCACAATTTACCATAGCTAACATCTGGAAACAGCCTAAGTGCCCATCAGCAGATGATTGTGTTAGAAAACTTTGGTACATCTACACAATGGAATACTACGCTGCTGTAAAAAAGAAGGAATTCTTACCATTTGCAACAGCATGGATGGACCTGGAGAGCATTATGCTAAGCAAAATAAGCCAGTCAGAGAAAGATAAATATCACATGATCTCATTTATGGAATATAATGAACAACATAAACTGATGAACAAAAAAAGATCCAGAGACAGAGAAGCATCGATCAGACTGTCAAACCTCAGAGGGAAAGTAGGGGAGGGTGGGGATAAGGGGGAGAGGTCAACCAAAGGACTTGTATGCATGCATATAAGCCTAAGCAATGGACACAGACACCAGGGGCGTGAGGGCATGAGTGTGGGGGGCCATTGGGGGGATAAGGACACATATGTAATACCTTAATCAATAAAGAAAAAAAGAAAATAGGTACAACTGTTAAAAGTTTCTTATGTCAGAAAGTTGAAATTATAGTAGATGTATAGGAAGAATCTTAAGCTTCTTACTATGTTTTCAAATGTTGAGAAATCTGCTACAGATACTGAGAGGGGAAAAAGCTTAATTTAGGAAAGAGGTAGCAGTTTCTAGAATTATTATTCCATTCTGTAGATTTTGCTATATCTAAATATCATTTCTATTATTATATATGTAGTATACTGTATTTTCTTGTATAGATTCACTTTTTTAAAACTTTGCCTCATCCTATGCATGATTATTAGTGAGATCACAGATTTTATTTACAATGTACATTTTTCTAATACACATTAATATAATTATTAAAATAGAAAAGGTTTGTACAGTTAATACTTAAAATCATCTTGTGTACCATCATACATAGGATAGTGGTTTGTAATTATGGAGAAGGTAAGGAGATCAATTTCAATATGTCATTACCGTGACAACTTTGAAAAGTGTTAATGCATTGTGTTTCTCATTTTCTGGTTGACAATTTATAAAAAATATCCAGTGAACTAAATTTTTATGGTGAGGTATTATCATATAAAAATTTTTGCTCACTAGTTCTTAGTGAACTTGAGAACTTTCATAATGATGAAATTATGATTTTTGATTTAGAAAGTATTCATGACATCAAGCTTATTAAACCAAATATATCTAATTAAACTCTCCCATCTTTTAAATTTAAAATATACTTAATGTAATTCATCATTAGAGATTGGCTTTATTCCTATGAAGTCAGTGTTTTGTTTCTACTTTCTTTTGAATAATAGCTGAAGTCTGGGATCAGGAGTTTGACCCCGTCATGGTCATTCTTCGAACAGTTTACCGTAGAGACGTGCAGTCTGCAATGGACAGATATACAGCATTGTAAGTTCATTATATTGATTAGTATAATAATGGACATTTTGTATTTATATAGAAACATTTCAATTATAACACAGATGTGATATGCTCTCATTAAAGTATGCTCTCAGTCTTTAGAGGAGAAAATATTTTAAGATTAAAAAAATAATCTGGCTGAGACCTATGTTCTCAAGATCTTGACCCAAAATCTGATTTTAATCTGATAAAAATAAATTTTATAAAACATAAAACCCTTGGAATTCAAAGATTGGTTTTCTGTTGTTCTACTTTTAAACCACTGGAGGAGGCATAAGTTAAGAGAATAAAATTGTCTGATATCAGAGATGATGGGTATCAAAAAGTGTGGTAATATTGCTATTAACTGGGAAAATAGCCAAAATAAAATGAATTTTACTTGTATTTAAAGTAGTTTAAAATGTTGATGATTGCAGAAAATAAAGTTTTGAAGGATATCTTTTTAATGCATTCAATTTTGTATGTTGTTGTAGATTATTTTAAATGTATTAATTCCACTTATTTTTAAACTTCAGTAATTAATATTATATTTTTGAACATCATATTTTATTTGTGCTTTTCTAAAGCTTAAGGTAAACATTTAAAAAACAAGTTTAAACTGATATAGATGTCTTTAATTTTGAAAAAAATATGTGTCCAGATAACTATCAAAGTATAAATGTATTAGGTATAACTGAAACTTCTCTTTTGCCAGACTTTGTAATAATAGAGATACGTTGAATTTAAGATCCATCACAGGTGTATTTGAAGAAAATTTTGGGGCCAAATTTTGGTGCAACTCCCCCAAAATAAAACAAAACCTAGTTTACTCATCATGATCGTTCCCTATTTTTCTCTAAAACCCTTAGGGGGATAGTCTGAAGTTGCCCTTTTTCTGCTTTCTTAGCAGTTTCTTTCTATGCTTATGTGGTTTTATAACTATTTGCTTGTATGCTTTTACTAAACTGTTAGTTCCTTGAGGGAAGATACTTTTGTCTGTATATCTCTTTTACATTTTCAGTAATTCTTTCAGTGCTGGCACATAGTAGGCATTTAGAGTATATTTGTTGAATAAATAAATTTGAGTGGTTCACATTAAAAAATTAAAGATGGGTGGGAGAAAGCATTTACATGGAAAAAACCTAGTGTGGCCTTTCTAAATACTGTTGTTTTAGATGGTTCTGCCTTTTTTTCAGGAGGCAGTGGTAGTGGCTGTTCATTTGAGTATTACATAAGAATTAAATGAATAGTAAATTTTATTATTCTCTTTTACATTGTAATAAATAGAAATTTGGACTAGGATTGGGCTGAAACTTTAAAGCCTTGTAATCAATTTTAAAGAGGAAATTTTATTTAACAATACCTTTATGGAATGCTTGTTATATGCTAGGCCCTCTGTGAAGCAAACAGAATTGCATCTTTTATTTTTCACATAGACTTTTAATTGAACGCATTTAGACTTGTGGTTCTCAACCTGGGATGATTTTTGTCCTTCACAGACACTTGGCATTGTGTGAAGACTGAGAGGGTTGTTTCTGACATCTAGTAGATGCTAGGTCTGCGCCCCAAACAAAGAATTACCTGGTTCCAAATGTCACTAGTGTTAAGGTTGAGAAACCTGGTTTAGATCTATATGTTTGGGGTTTGGGGTTATCTTGATTTCTAGTTTTATTTGCTTTGTGATAAGTGATTGTGATCTGTGTATTAGTTCTTTTTGTATATGTTGAGATTTACTTTGTAATTGTTTTTTCAATTTTTATAAATGTTCTAAACTTAGTTAAAATTATGTGTATTCTCTAATGGATGTTCTTTATTTGTCTTTGGGTCGAGATTGTTAATTGTGTTGTTAAAAATCTTCAAAATCCTTACCAATTTATTTTTACTGGGCTTTCTGTTAGAACAGTGGTTGGCAAACTCGTTAGTCAACAGAGCCAAATATCAACAGTACAATGATTGAAATTTCTTTTGAGAGCCAAATTTTTTAAACTTAAACTATATAGATAGGTACATTGTTATTAACTTAATTAGGGTACTCCTAAGCTGGCCTTTGCTAAAAACGTCCTTAATCTGATTGAGGTACGTTCGCTGAGGTCGACCCCTTCCAACTCTCCCATCCACACTCATCTTGTATACTTGTTTCAGATAGACGAGTGTGGACGGGAGAGTCGGAAGGGGTCAACCTCAATGAAGGAACGTACCTCAAAACAATGTACCTCCCCCGCGCTGCGTATCCCGCGGCCCGACCAACCCAAACCCCCCACTTCTTCTAGCACTACTTCTTCAAAATAGACTCGCCCAGGCCGAAAACCGACTTCTGCACATGGGCCATGAAGTTTCAATCGCACTGTACGTGCGTGCCCGCGTGTGGTATTTTGTGGAAGAGCCACACTCACGGGGCCAAAGAGCCGCATGTGGCTCGCGAGCCGCAGTTTGCTGACCACTGTGTTAGAAGTATGTTAATATCCTTTATTAAGGGTGTGGATTTGTCACTTTCTTTGTGTAATTCTCTCAGATTTTGCCTTTTATGTTTTGAGTCTTCTGTTCATACAAGTTCATGATTATTATCTTCCTGGGAATCTGTTATTTTTCCATCACAGAAGAGACAAACTTTCTTATTTCTCATTGTGAGTTATCCTTTCATTGAGGGTAAAGCTTTTCAGGTCTCAGCTTTATGTGGGATCTCAGTTCCATCTCTAAGCCTGGTGTGAGTCCAACACCTTGAGATCTCAAAGACTTTAAAACCATTGGCAAACACAGTGTTAGTGCTTGTTATTTTTTCCCGTTACCTTGGAGAACTCTACTTTCTCTTTTGTGCTTCAGATATGCCTTCAAAAGGTTATATGTTATGTTTTATCCAGCTTTCCCAGCTGTAGTGGGGAATTTTTAGCTTATCTATTTTATTCAGTTACTGCAATTGGAAATTTAAAATAATATATTTTTATTGATTTTTTTTTTTAAGAGAGAGGGAGAGAGAGAAATACATTGATTTGTTGTTCCACTTATTTATGCATTCATTGGTTGATCCTTGCATATGCCCTGAAGGGAGATTGAACTCTCAACCTTGCCGTTTGAGGATGATGTTCAAACCAACTGAGCTACCTGGCTAGGGCACAACTGGGAATTTGTTTGCCTAGTTCTTTACTTTATATTCTTTCTGTTTGTTTTCCTTTGTTAACATTTTCCTATTCATATTTCTCTTTAGTTTTAGCTCTCTCCACTCATTTTTATCCAATATGGAAGGCAATAATAATGTTCATTTGGCTTTTTCAATCCTCATCTGAGGATATGTATTTTTTCATTGAGAGAGGGAGGGAGGAAGAAAAAGAAGGAAGGGAGGGAGGGAGAGAGGCAAGGTTGGAGGGGGGGGCGAGGGGAGAGAAAGAGAGAGAGAGAGAGAGAGAGAGAGAGAGAGAGAGAGAGAGAGAGGTAAGAGAGGGGAATTAGCGTGTTGATGTGAGAAACATCGATCGGTTGCCTCCCATCCACTTGTGCCCTGACCAGGGATTGAACCTGCAACCTGAGTATGTGCCCTGACCGGGCGGGAATGGAACCCATGTGCCCTTGGTGCACAGGATGGCACTCTATTCACTAAGCAGTGTTGGCGAGGGCCCATTTAAAAATTTTAAGCAATTTGATTAAAATAGTACTGCATAGCCCTAGACTGTTTGGCTTAGTGGAAAATGTCAGCCTGCTGACCAAAGGGTCCTGGGTTTGATTCTGGTCAAGGGCACATACCTCTGTTGCAGGCTCCTCCTCGGCCTGGGCTTTGGTCGGGTCGTGCAGGAGGCAACCAATCAATGTGTTTCTATCACATCGATATTTCTCTCTGTCTTTTCCTCTCTCTTCCACTCTCTCTAAAAATGGTAGACAATATTTGGAAAAATATCCTTGCGTGAGGATTAAAAAAAATGTACTGCATAGGAAATGTGACAAAAATTAATGACAATAAATCACAGTTTATGCTACAGTTTAATCTTGAGTCTACCATCTAATTTTAGTTTTGTTTTATTTTTACAGTTTAAAACAGAATGGAAAATTCCCTGGAAATCCTTGGCCTCCTTATAAGAAAAGGACACCACTCCATCCCAGCTATAAAGGTCTCATGAGACTATTGCACTGTAAAACTTTACATATTGTGCTATTCACTCTGCTTTACAAGGTACAGTAATGATTTGAATAGAAAGATTCCGATTAGAATTTCTTTCCATAATTTTCAAATAGAAGTGCTAAAGGATAATCTTTACATAAAAGTACCATTTATAAAGCAAAGTGTATTTATAATTTAAGATGTATGAGGGTATGTTATAATCACATGTTTGTGAATTCTAAGTTAAAAATAATGGAATAACTATACCATTCTTTGTGGGAAACTATGTTATCCAGTTCCAGATTAGCAATATTTATAGATAGCTTCTGTAGAACAAGAAGTGAATATGGTGAGATTACAGGAAGATTGGGATGAACAACAGGGACCAAACAACCACCAGTAGCTACTAACATGACAAAACTAAGATGACAGCCATGGGGACCAGTAACCCTGTGTTTAAGGTTCCCTTGGTTTTTTAACTCTTATCAGGAATGTGACATGGAGGGATGTGAATGGGTTCCTATATGACACATTGAGATTTTGCTCATGTTAAAGACTTTAGAAACTCAAAAGATATTTTTACTTTCTTCTTACCTTGAATTTGTTTTATTCTTGGCTCTTTTCACATAAACTGATTTATTTATTTGGCTAACATTAATAGTGTACTAAAAAATTGTACGCATAATATTGTGGTGTATGCATATAAAACAGGCATATTTATGATGTAATCTGGATAAGAGATGAAAGACAAAAGAACTAATGTTATAAGATGAAATTACTATAGACAGTTACAAAGTAACTATAGACATAATAAACATATAATTAGATACAAAGAAAAACTACTGTTCTTCCTAATTAGAATTTGAAAAATTAAAAAGCATAAAAAGAAAAATAAACATATTTGTTATGCAAATTTCCAATGACTACATACACATTTATTAATTATTTAAGAAAATATATATTAAACTTAGTTAAATAGACACTAGATTTTTTCTTAATGTTTGCTATGTACTAGTAATGGAATAATCCTTTTAGATTTTTGTATCCCTCCCTCTTTTCAACTCTACCTGAGCAATTTTTCAATTTATTCCTGTTAAGATTTTAGATAGGTGTTTCAAAATATCTTAAATGGTTTATTTTTGTTAATTTCCAAGAGGATTATTCAATAAAATGATTAAAATTTTCCTTTTCTTCATTAAAAAAGTAAAATATTTTTTCTTACTAAAATTATATTTGTATTTATTTTACAAATAACAGACATTTTTGAATGTTTACTTAGTGCTAGATTTTGTTTCAAATGCTTTATATGTACTTATATACATTACTTTGTTTAATTCTAGCAAAATTTATGAGTTAAAGTTGTTATTTTTATTTTTCAGATACGATTTTTGAGTTTTAGAGGTTAAATAACTACATCAGATGATTAATCTGAGCACTGTTATAATTAATAAGTAGTAAGTCAATTTATGATTTAAAAATTAAAGTCTTACTGTGAATGATTTATGTTCTCTCAAGTTATATTTTTCAACCTTTTATTTGCTTACTGTAAAAATAGTATTTTATCAAAAATAGAAAGGCAGTTTATAAGGTTATTACGAACAAATTTTTTAAGGTCTGAACTTTATAATAGCTTTTAATTTAACAATAATAGAAAAAACTTTTCTAACTGACATTGCACTGGCAAGTCAACTTTCTAAAAACCAATGTCAGTAAAACCTTTTCCCTCCTGCCATGTTTATTAACAAACATTAATATAGAACATGTTAATAAAATTCCCCAGAAAAGTCACTTTAATTTTTTTGCAGTATTTAATAAAGTGATTTTTTTCTTAGCTATGAAATTGAAGCTGTAAGATGGAATGTCACAGGATTTCAAGCCAAAATTTACTTGAATTTAGTAATATTTTATGTATCAAGAGAAGGCAGTATAGTAATGGTAGATAATCTTTGGGAGTCTGAAATCTGTGTTCTAGTTTTGCTTACACTAACAGTGTGTGGCTGAGTCTTGGTTTCCTTTATAAAGTAGCAGATTAAAAGGATGACCTCTGTTGCCTCCCAGCCTTCAACCCACTTCTACAGCTGCTCTGATATCCTTGTCATCAGTAGAAGAGTGTCAGCAAATTAGAATGTAAAATATTCTTGTTATTTTTTCAGATACTAGTATATTTATAATAATGGATTTAGTGGACTGTTTAATGTGTTAACCTTTAGGAAATCAGTGAACTTTTATTTTTAGATATTGCTTAAAATACTGTGTGATCTTGCAAGGGAACTTGTATTTTTGGTTTAGTTTGTCTTTTCACCAAGATGTAGCTTTAGTACATGTTTGATCATGCTATATACTTATATGTATGTTTATTTTTTTAATCTATGACATTAAAATGTTTTTGGATATTTAAATGTGTAATATATTTTGTGGAAAAAAGTAATTATGAGGCCTTTTTTTCCCTTTTTAAAGATTTTAATGGATCATCAAAATTTGTCAGAACATGTACTCTGCATGGTTTTATATCTGATTGAATTAGGACTTGAAAATTCAGCTGATGAGGAATCAGATGAAGAGGTAAGTAATTTTGTACATTTTTAGACATTAAAGTTTATAACATTCCTTAATAAAGGTAATATGTCATCTTGAAATGTATTTACAAAATCATCTTATATATGATCTTAACAACTACTAGAAAAGGCTCTTTTTGATCTTTAAATTCAGGGGTTTTTAGCAGTTTCACTGATACATTACACCAGGGGTCCTCGAACTACGGCCCGCGGGCCACATGCAAATACAAATATTGTATTTGTTCCTATTTTGTTTTTTTTACTTCAAAATAAGATATGTGCAGTGCACATAGGAATTTGTTCATAGTTTTTTTAAAACTATAGTCCGGCCCTCCAACGGTCTGAGGGACAGTGAACTGACCCCCTGTTTAAAAAGTTTGAGGACCCCTGCATTACACTCTACTTGTAGAATTATTGAATTTGAAATTGGTAAATTCATAATCTGTAGATCTGAGAAAAATAGTTAATGAATTTTTGGTGTTATGGTAATAACATTGATTACTGGTAATAATCAGTTCAGTCTAGAAAGTCTAATAATTTGATTAGGGATTATTTTTGAGAAGCAAATTTTTTGGGTAAAGATTTTAAGTTAGTGAAGTGAATAGTGTTTTATGGGAGAACTAGAGGCCCGGTACATGAAATTCTTGCACTTGGCAGGTGATGGGGGGAGGAGGTCTCTCAGCCTGGCTTGCACCCTCTTGCAGTCCAGGAGCCCTGGAGATGTCTAACTGATGGCTTAGGCCCGCGGGGAGTGGGCCTGAACCAGCACTTGAACATCCTTAGTGCTGCTTGGAGGTGGGAGAGGCTCAGGCCATTGCTGCTGCGCTTGCCAGCTGTGAGACTGGCTTCTGGCTGATAGTGGTGCTCCCCCTGTTGGAGCACATTGACCACCAGGGGGCAGCTCCTTCATTGAGCGTCTGCCCCCTGCTGGTCAGTGTGTGTCATAGTGAGCGGTCGTTCCACTGTTTGGTCAATTTGCATATTAACCTTTTATTACATAGGATGTTTAAAGTACTTAAGTATACAAGTTAAGATTTTTCAGCACTTTTAAAAGTATCATTCCATAAAAGCAATTGTTTCTACAAATTGATTTTAAAATATAAGGCTTCCTCATTCCCTCCCTTCAAAAAGACAAAATACAACACAACAGCAAAACAAAAACAAAAAAACAAGTAAAAAGACTAGGCAGTTGAATCAACATATATTCTCCCATAGATAGTAAAGGATCATTAAGATTCCTCTAAGACTAGGTCAGACTTTTAGTTGATTTTTCACACTTTCTTCTACAGTTATTCCATATTACCATTATTTGGCTATATAATGTGTTGCTAACGAGTGATGAAAAATATTCTGTATGTTAAGTATTTTCAGATTTAAAATGTACTTTTCAGGAGAAATTTAGCTGACTTCCTTTGAATTTACCCATATTAGTATTGAAAAGTTTATTCTTGTATTTTGTGTTTGAATTTGGTTTTATTAGCACTTTATAATTTGTGGATGAGGCTATGGGGATTTAAGGATATGACAGACAGTGGATGATTATTTGGGCTTGTTACACCTCCCTTGTACCTTAGACCTGACTTGACAAGGCTTGATATTCATTATATTTATGTTTTAGGCATCAGCGTGTGGACCAGAACGTTGTCATGACAGTTGGTTTCCTGGCAGTAATTTAGTAGCCAACATGCGACACTTTATAAACTATGTTAGAGTGAGAGTTCCAGAGACTGCTCCTGAAGTGAAGAGAGACTCACCTGCAAGTACCAGCTCTGATAGCTTGGGCTCTTTACAAGTAAGTGTGGAAGGGAGAAAGAAAAAAAGGAAACGCTTTATGTTATGTTTGGACAGATACATTGTTTAGGTCATCCTGTGATATCCAAAATAAAAATAAATGTGGTTGTAGGTAACTATAAATTGTCTTTTATTTTCTCTGATATATCTAAGCAGCTTCACCTCTCTTTTTCCTTTAATCTGCCAGAGTTCACGAAGGCCTAAAGTTCTTCAAAGAGAGGTAGATGTATGTGATATTTGCATTAACTAGCAATATGGCTTTAACTGGAAATGTGGAAAAAACACTGAAGTATTTGTGTGTGTATATGTATGTTTAATTAATATGGTTAAATTTAAAGAGGTTTTTCTTTAATGTATATGTGTGTGTTTTTAATATAGTGATTTAGGTATAATTTTAAAGGAAATTCATATTATTGAACTTAAAAAATAATACTGAGTGCTTAATGGGTTTTTCTTGGTAGTATTAGAAGTATTTTACATCAATTATGAGCAGCACATTTGGGTCTGTTTACATTTAGCATTGTTACTAACAACTTAAAAATAAATGTTTCCTAAATCAAAATAAATTTAATGTTTAATTGCCGGCAGCATGCCCATTTATAATTTTTTTATTATGGCAATTAATTAACTTTGATAAAATAAGCTCTCAGAACTTAAACTCCATATATTGTGTATTTGGATTCATTTTGGAAATCAGCTCTCATTGCATGTAGCTTAATTAATTTTTAAAAAGCAGAAATGAAATATATTGCAGTGACATGTCAAATAACTAAACTTAAACACCTAATGCCTACAATCTATATTTTTGTGAGTAGGGAACATTGAATCAGACATTTCTCATAGTAGAGTCCTGTGGTCAGAGATTTCTTTGCCTTTGACAACATGTTCTTGCTGTGAACATCATAAAGAGTTTTTATTAAAATATTGGAATCTTGCCGAAACCGGTTTGGCTCAGTGGATAGAGCGTCGGCCTGCGGACTGAAGGGTCCCGGGTTCGATTCCGGTCAGGGGCATGTACCTGGGTTGCGGGCACATCCCCAGTGGGCGATGTGCAGGAGGCAACTGATCGATGTCTCTCTCTCATCGATGTTTCTAACTCTCTATCTCTCGCCCTTCCTCTCTGTAAAAAATCAATAAAATATATTTAAAAAAAAAAATATTGGAATCTTTCTAAGAGGCAGCTTTTGCCTCTGAGGCTGGGAGAGAGTATTTTGAAAAACAACTTGGCCCTCGCCAAGTTGCTCAGTGGTTAAAGCATAAGCCCGAGGACCAAAGGGTTGTGGGTTTGATTCCCAGTCAAGGGCACATACCTTGCTTGTAGGCTCGATCCCCAGCCTGGGTTGGGGGCCTGTCAAGGCATATGTGAGAGGCAACCAATCCATGTATCTCTCTCTCACATATATTTCTCTCTCTCTCTCTCTCTCTCTCTCTCTCTCTCTCTCTCTCTCTCTCTCTCTCTCTTTCTCCCTCTCTGTCTCAGTCTTTTGCTCTCTCTCTTCCCCTCCCCCCTCCCTTCCACTCTAAAAAAATCAATGGAAAAATATCCTGGGGTGAGGATTAAAAAAATTAGAAAAACAGTTTGGATGTTGAAAAATAGTGTATATTATAATTTAACTCATCAAAGCATTGGAGCATTGTTTTTATTCTTGCTTAAAAAATTAATGAAATGTATTAAACTGATGTGTGTCTTAATTAAAAATGATTTCTAAGAGCTCTAGTTCAGTTTGACAGCTTTAGGGTAAAGGCTGTTTAGACAATACATTGACAAAAATGGTTTTTAAAGATCTGTTCAAATAACAAATTATAGTGATACTCAAATACGAAACAGATAAATTTGATTTTTCATCTTTATATTTCATATTAATAACTTTAAGCATATGTTAGAAATAATTTTCAAACTTTTGAAGTTCCTTAAAAATGAAATTAATTAGCAGTTCATATTTATTAGCGTAGAAAAAATTAATTTATAATTTTCTTCACTGGAAAATATGACAGTTTTTTAGAAATTAGTAGAGTATACTATTCTTTTTTTCTTTTTTTTTTTTTAAATCCTCACCTAAGGATATTTTTCCATTGATTTTTATTTTTTTAAATATATTTTTATTGATTTCAGAGAGTAAGGGAGAGGGCAAGAGACACAAACATCAATGATGAGAGAGAATCATTGATCGGCTGCCTCCTGTACACCCCACGCTGGGGATCGAGCCCGCAACCTGGGCATGTGCCCCGATTGGGAATCAAACTGTGACCTTCTGTTTTATAAATTGATGCTCAACCACTGAGCCATGCCAGCTGAGCTCCATTGATTTTTAGAGAGAGTGGAAGGGAGGGGGAGAAACATAGACAGAAATGTTGATGTGAGAGAGACACATTGATTGGTTGTCACCTGCATGTGCCCGTTGGGTGGCAGGGCTGGTGTGGCCAGGGGTTCAAGCCTGCAGCCAAGGTCAACCCTTGACCAGAATTGAACCTGGGACACTTAAGTCTGCGCTGATGCTCTATCCAGTGAGCCAAACTAGCTAGGGCAAATATGGTATTCTTGATGAATGTTGGGTAGAACAGCTTTTCTTTTTTTAAACTGATGAGGAACTTAATTTATGATTCCTCTTTAATATGACTATAGATACTACTCAAGCTTTGTCTGTTTTCTCTAGTAGATAGATAGATTCAGGAGGTAGCAAAAGAGTTGTTATCTTGGATTATCTCCTTTCTCCTCCTCATTGTTATTTTCAGATTGAGTGGTTCTAAGTATATGTAGGAAAGAGAGGTGAAGAGTCAGATATCTTAAAAAGAAAATCGATTGAAACATATCTGCATGAAACTTTGAACATTCCCTTTGGAAAATGTAGTACTAATAGGTTTTTAAACTTGACACTGAATAACTTCTTTGATTTCTTTCTTTTTCTTTTTTAATGGTAGAATTCTGGTACAGCCCAAGTTTTCAGCTTAGTAGCAGAGCGTAGAAAGAAGTTTCAGGAGATCATCAATCGTAGCAGCAATGAAGCAAATCAGGTGGTTCGTCCTAAAACTTCAAGTAAATGGTCTGCTCCTGGTTCAGCTCCACAGTTAACTACAGCCATTTTGGAAATTAAAGAAAGTATATTGTCTTTGCTAATTAAACTTCACCACAAACTCTCAGGAAAACAAAACTCCTACTATCCTCCTTGGCTTGATGACATAGAAATTTTGATCCAACCAGAAATTCCTAAATATAGTCATGGAGATGGTATAACTGCAGTAGAAAGAATTTTACTAAAAGCTGCATTGCAAAGCAGAATGAACAAACGTATCATTGAAGAGATATGTAGAAAAGTGACCCCTCCTGTACCACCCAGAAAAGTCACTGCAGCAGAGAAGAAAACATTGGACAAAGAAGAAAGGTAATTTTTTATTTTTACTGTTTTTAACATGAATGGTACAGTTCAAGATTTGATATAGCTTTTCTTACTGGCTGAGGACCTGGGCGTTTAGTAGCTACAATCATAGCTTCCTGCTTTGTAAGATAAATGGAACCAAATGTAGGTGGTGCTTGTGTGTATAGTGTGCTTGAGTTAGTTGTTGTTGAGAAAACAAGGTTTCTGACCCCAGCATTAAATTACTGCCTTAAACTTATAGGCCCCTGTGGAAAATTGCTACTTCTGTAATTACCATGGGAATCTAATAATTCTCCTGCTGTTTTCAAAAACTTTTATCAATTTAACTTTAAATGAGAACAGAAAATTTAAAAAATATATTTTAAATATATCTCAAAATAAAAATCGGACTATTTTAGCTCCTTTTGGTTCTTTCCACTTTTTTCAGTGTGTGATCACTGATTATTAAATAAGGAATGTTTTAAAACAGTGATGGCGAACCTATGACATGCGTGTCAGAGGTGACACGCGAACTCATTTTTTTTAAAATTAAATCTTTATTGTTCAGATTATTATATTTGTTCCTCTTTTTTCCCCCCATAATTCCCCTCCTCCCAGTTCCCAACCCACCCCTGCCCTCCCTCCCCACAC